CCAAACCAAGGGACAAGGGGGTGACATCCAAGAGCAGGAGATCCTGCACCTTCTCATTACCCTCACCACTCAAGATAGCAGCTTGGACTGCAGCACCGTAGGCAACAGCCTCATCGGGGTTGATGCTCTTGCAGAGCTCCTTCCCGTTGAAGAAATCCTGCAAAAGCTGCTGAACCTTGGGAATTCTAGTAGAACCACCAACAAGAACAACATCATGGACGGAGCTCTTGTCCATCTTGGCATCTCTCAAACACTTCTCAACTGGTTCCATACACTTTCTGAAGAGATCCATGTTAAGTTCCTCAAATCTGGCACGGGTAATGGTGGAGTAAAAGTCAATACCCTCGTACAAGGAGTCAATTTCAATGGTGGTTTGTGCAGTGGATGAGAGAGTTCTCTTTGCCCTCTCACATGCTGTCCTCAACCTCCTAAGAGCTCGGGGGTTACCACTAATGTCCTTCTTGTTCTTTCTCTTGAACTCCTGTGCAAAGTGGTTCACCATTCTGTTATCAAAATCTTCACCTCCGAGGTGAGTGTCTCCAGCAGTGGCCTTCACCTCAAAGATACCCTCTTCAATGGTAAGAAGAGAGACATCAAAAGTACCACCACCAAGATCAAAGATCAAGACATTCTTTTCGCCGACACTGGTAGCCTTCTTGTCAAGACCGTAAGCAATGGCTGCAGCCGTGGGTTCATTAATAATACGCATGACATTAAGACCGGCAATGACACCAGCATCCTTTGTTGCCTGACGCTGAGAGTCATTGAAGTATGCAGGGACAGTAACCACGGCATTCTTAATTGTAGAGCCAAGGTAAGCCTCGGCAATTTCCCTCATCTTCATGAGGACCATAGAAGAGATCTCCTCAGCAGCAAATTGCTTCTCCTCACCCTTGTAAAAAACAACAATCATGGGCTTGTCACCAGGTCCAGAAATGACCTTGAATGGCCACAACTTAACATCACTCTGAACAGGGGCATCACTGAATCTCCGACCAATCAACCTCTTTGCATCTATAAGGTAAAAACAAATTAAATTAGTTCAACCAAAACAAATAACAAAATAAACAAAAACCTAACCACAAAACTTCAATCTATGACCTAGTTATTCATACATAATAAACCATTCGAATGACCATCAAAGCACAAAAATCTTTTACTTTCACCAAGAAACTTCACATACAGGAATTGTTAATTCATTTCAAACAATGGCCTACATGCAGTATACAACAATGTAACTTAGTTTAAGTGTAACGCGTAACTTCAATTAGAACGAGCACATATCCAATAATTTGAGCTTAAACTAAGGAATAAGAAGCTAAGTTATTACTAATACGTATTAAGCAAAAATAATGATCACACAACGTTTATAATTGAACTAAGTTGTACAGTAAGAGATGGTAAACGCAGATCAATAAAATTTCAAAGATTAAGACAACAAATCTGTTTAAGACTAAGAATCAAGATCAAACAAAACTATGACTAAACTAAAACTACACCATAACAGATCTAATAATCAAGTCTGAAGCTCTCATTTATTGAAAAGCTAACAGCACCTTTAGATTTAAATGAACGAAGAGAGATTAAGATCTGAACTAAAATGTCAGCTCAAGCTACAGCGATTCCTTATTAAATCTTAGCTCGTAAAGTTCAGATCTGTATTTTTTTTAACTTAACAAAACTAACCGTCGCATAGATCTATCTAAACATTTCCAGATCCAATCAAAATGCAATATCTAAACAAAGCAGACGAAAGCAAATTTCAAAATTAAATGAAAGAGTCAAAGCTTACCGAAGACAGTGTTCACGGGGTTCATGGCGACCTGGTTCTTTGCTGCATCTCCGATCAAACGCTCGGTATCTGTAAAGCCAACATAGGACGGCGTCGTTCTATTACCTTGATCGTTGGCTATGATCTCAACACGATCATGTTGCCAAACGCCAACGCAAGAATAAGTGGTTCCGAGATCGATTCCGATCGCTGGACCTTCTCCTTTACCGGCCATTGCTTTCTCTTCTTTAGCTGTGTCGACGAAAAAGAACGTAAAAAACGAAAGGAAGAACAACAAAAAAACGAATAAAAGAAAGAAACAGCCACGAACAGCTAGGGTTTCAAGTGGCCGAGCAAGGAAAAAAGAGTTGGTTTATATAGAGTTTTTTGAGTCTTGTTTCGAGAATGTTCTAATCCCTGGACTCGAGGAACCGTCCGATCTTATAAATGATTTAACGGTTCTAGATTGTATTTTCTTATTTTGCCGCGGAGTGTACGGGGGTTTTTAAATACTCGGTTAAAACTATCGAGTAAATTCCTGCCACGTCTTTAAAAATGAAAGGTGTACCGAATTTTGATGGGATCTAGACCGTCCGTTCAGATCTGACGTTCAGTGGCTGAAGAGGGTGCATGAACCAGGGGCCGTCTTGTTACGGCTGTTCTCATTGGACCGTCACCGTCCAGGAAGATTCATCGGAGACAAAGTAAAAGAGAAATTCAAAGACTTTAACTTTTGTCTTCGTTCACGTGATGGAATTGTTGGAGAAAGCGTTCGGAAGTTACAAAAGTAGGAAAGTTAGCTGAAGAAAATGACGGGCTACAAATGTATAAATCTACTTATACAATGAAAAATGCTTTTTTTTTTTCCTTGAGATATTTACATGTAGATGGAAATGAAGAGATACATCACATATGTCCGCTTTTATTTACAATATCTTAAAATTAAACTCCGAATATTTTTCAAAACCATCAAATAAAAATAAATTGACATGCTGTGTTGAAAACCTTCTAAATTATTTTAAAAATTTTAAATAAAATTTAATTTTTTATTATATTTAATCAAATTTTTATATTTTTATTTTAAATTAAAATAAATTTTTATAATTAACTATCATTATTAAAAATATCACATATCATCTTATATTTATGAAACATTAATATAAATAATAAAAATTACATATGATCATATTATTATGTCATATCAACATTCATTATAATACATTATTATACCACAACAACATTGTATTATATAAAATAATAAATAATATTTTAATTAATAATAGTTAATTAATTATAAATTATAAAAATTTATTAAATTTAAAATAAAAATATAAAAATTTTATTAAACATAATAAAATAATAAAAATTTATTTAAATTGTTTTAAATAATTTAATAACTTATTTAAATATTATATCATATAAATTTCGTCTAGGTGTGATCCAATATCAAATCATAATCATTTCTTTATCGTCTTTAGCCATAAATTTTAATGGCTAGAGAAACACAATTGAAATTAGGATTAAATGCCTGGATGACACTTCGGAGAATCTTTTACGTGAAGTTGCCAGAGCCATGCCTTGTAGTTGTTGCCAAGTTGAAAAGAATAGAATCGACTTGCGTTGTCTTGGCTCGTGGTTCAATTTTGGCAATCCAATTGTCAAATTGCATACTTGTTTGTCACGGTCGGAGGCTGAAGCTTCGATCCTCCACGTTTTTGGACCAGTGGAGTGGGATTTGGGCGCTGCCACATTTCCCATGCCCATGTATGAAGATTTTCTCCTTTGGGTTGAGATAGAACTCCCAGCGAGGGCCGGCGAGTTTATTCATAGACACGATCAAATACGTTGGTGCCCAAAGTGTTCGACTAGGCCCGTTCTGGCCGAATCAGTAGGCAAGAATTCGTGATCAGGGCGGCTGCCCAGCTCAATATAAGTTCCAAATCAAAACTTTGATTGAATTGTCAAATGGTAAGTTTATCTGCTAGCTTACATGATACTTTCAGTTCGTGAAATAAAATAAAATAATAATAGAATATAAATATTATTATGTATGCAGTTTAATTGATAAAAAATAAAATAAAAATTGTTATTATGATTTATTGTAATATTTATTTAGTAAAAATAATAACAAAATAAAAGATAAGAATATAAATTTATCCTTTATTATAATAGATTTTTTTTTTACTTTTTTTCATTTTTTAATATTTAAATTATAAATTACTAATAATTTATTTATAATTTAAATATTGTTATGATTAAAATATTAATAATTTTAATTAATTTTTGAATTTAAAATATTATTTTTTTATAATATATAATTAATTTTTAAAAAAATTTCTTTTGTTTTTTCATTTTCAAGCGCTAGATGCCTAGATCCGATGCTTTTCAAGACCAAATTTGGTTGTAGACACCAAATTTAGCATTTTTTCAATTAGATTTAAATGAAGAGTACTAGATCTGGTCCTAAAATTGCTTTTATATAGGTAAAATTGTAGTTTTCTAAATTTGTAAAGGAAAAATTGATTTTATCATTTTTAGAGGTCATTCCTCAATCATGGCATAGCAAATATGCATAAGGGTTGATATTAGTTATACATTGACTTTAGGTTATTTTGAAGAATAAAGACTCTAAAGAAATGACTATTTCTTGAAATATTTGGCAATCAAGCGCACCAACAAATATTTCTTAAGAATATAGCCTTTCCTCCAACCAAATATGCAGAGTATAAAACCAAACAAATTAGATTTTGTATAATCATATCTTTGTTGTAATTGTCATAATTTATTAATGATACCAAACTATTCTTGTTTTATACGGATTAACTGTCTTAATTTATATATGATAAGTTTATGCACATTTTATTAATTGTATAAATAAATTAACTCATACTAGTACTCAATATAATTAACTAACTTAAATCCATTTATAGGATTTTTTCTATTTAAGGTATATAATATATTTAAATATGTTAATTGCATTTTAATAAATTAATTGTGTCGTGTATAAAAAATTTATTTTATCTTTTTGAACGAATGTAATTTTATTTATAAAAATTTTAATTTAGTTAAAAAATATTAAAATTAGCGTATTTAGAAAAATATTATTTATTATCATTTTTTACCGTTTGTTACTAAATTAAAAATATTATAATAATAAAATTACACATATTAAAAAATAATAAATTTGATCCCATAAATTTAGACCACATCCCCTTCTAAAAATAAATAAAATGGCTTAGCGCCGTTCCTTTATTGTCTGCGTATCAAAAACCAAGAACGTACCATCGGTGAGAGAGTGGGCTGCTGCACTCACACATGGAAGCTTTCACGGTAGCTGACAATTCCGTTGAGCTGGAAGCCAAGCGCAAAGAGGACTCCTCTTGGCACCCTTGTCGAGTTTCTCTAAGGTCAGTCCCCCTTGTTTTTTTTTTTTTGCTCTGGCCCCATTTCTTTCTTCTTTGTTGTTCCCATGGAGCTGTACTTTTTCACCATTTTTGGGCAACATTTTTCTCTCAGTTATCAAATTTTCCTGTTCCATTTTGAGAAACAATCATGGGTTGTTTTGTGAATAGTGGGTTGATAATTTCCCGACTTGAAGATGTTAGTGATCATTGGTTTTTATATCATTCATTCGATCAGAAACGAAAAGAAAACACAAAGAAAAAAAGAGACAAGATTTCTCCTAATACAATTATTCAAATGTTGTAGGACAATCTAGCCAAAGGGCTTTAAGCTTGTGTTTGAATAGGCTTTGTGCTTAAAAAATGGGTTGCATTGATGATCGAATGAGTAATTTTTTTGGGTCCCTTTTAGAACTATGATTCAATATTGAAATGTTTAGGTTCATATGGTTGATATGTTTGATTTTTCCTGTTTGTTTTTATTTTTCTATTTAATCATTTTATTGCCAAAAAAAAAAAAAGCAAGAATGTATAAACCAACGGAGCTTAATGATTAAGTATGACTTCTGATTTCATGCACAGCTCTTCTGGAGATAGTCTGATAGTAAATTTCGGGAGCCAGGAGTTGGACGATATGCTTTTGCAGAAGGAAGAAGTTCTTATGCATCTTCGCTTTCGTTCTATGCCTCTTCAAGTTGATGACTGTTTCCACATTGAAGAAGGTGAACGTGTTCTTGCCAACTGCAAGTCGCAATTCACGATCCTCTTCCATGATGCTGTGGTGGAAAAGGTGCACTTCCGTCTTCACCTAACTAATAAATCTGGAACACAAGTATCAGGGTCCTCAATGATGAAGCAAAGTAACATTCTCATGTGCTTTAATATATTCATTTGGTATTAAGATTATATCCATGATTGTTGATTGGAGTAACATCACTATATTTGTTTGTAGAAATAAGTAGCATGTAGCTATATTATTTGCAAGACCAGGTGCTGTGATGAGTTTACTGTTCTATGTGGTGTGAAACGTCAAACTTTGGTCTAGGTGATAATGAAAAGATGATGGCTGATATATGAAGCCCAGGTCTCAAAACTTATAGTGTAAATGTTGGTGAAAATCTCATTAAAGTTGTGGAGGATTAGAAATCAGCTATGGTATCTGATATGTCTTTTCCACAGCTTAAAAAAATGATATACATGGGTTAACCATGGTGTCCTTTGAATAGTGTACTTTAATCTGGTTCGCTTGAAGTTTTAAGTTTATATTATGTGAGTTGCCTTTAGTACATCTAGACTGTTATGCTTGTTCATTTTGTATCCCAACTTTCATTACTTGCAGGTGGACAGAGTACGGCACTCGAAAAGGGGCTGTAGATGCACTTTCATGATCAAATGGCTTGATCAAGACCTCAAAGGACAAACCTTGACCTTGCCATCAAGCTCAATCATGAAACTTGCGACCAAAAGTATCAGTGCCCATCCAATTATCAATAAACTCTTAAAACCAGAAAAACACACAGGTTTATCATATTCATCTCCTTTATTGACCATTCTTGAGGGAACAGATTCTGAAATAGACCTTAATAAGTTGCTGCAAAAGCAAATAGAACAGATTAGCAATTTAGCTGATGCATCTAAGAAAGATTTTCCACAGGATATTCCGTGGAGAAACAAAGGTAAGCACCCTTGCCATTGACATTATCTGAAGATATTGATGCGGGGCTTTTCACCAATTTGTTTTACATTAAACATGGTCCATGCAAATAATTATGATTGCGTTCATCTGTGTGCTTTGGTTTTTTACTATTGCTTTCAGCATAGTTTACCTGACATGCTGAACCTTATCATTTATTTTTACTTGTCCTTGGCAATGAACTGAGACATGGCTCTATCTGTTAATATTCTGGTTGACTTTTACTGTCTAAAGTACATCTGACTTTTGTCTGTATCTTTTCTGATTGTAAATCTCATTTTTTGTTGTGAGGGAATTGGTGGTTCTGTCTCAATGGCTCTCACCTTTCCTATTTCCATCCTACCTCCGAAACCCCCCACCCTCTGAACTCTGCCACCAATCTCCCTTCAGTTCCCCCACTAAACCCAAAGCCAAGACCAACCCAATCCCTAAAAATGGCCAAAATAAAGACAATTCTGCCTTAAGACCAATATTTTGCTAGCATTGATAAGTGCTATTTATGTCTTTTTGCATCTGGTGATTTCAGTGGTTTCCTTCTTTGGTATACTGAGCATTTTATGCTGATATAAGAGCTGTTAATGTTATAAGTGCTCATGTCCAGTATTTATCCTACACAGCCAGTTCTATATGGTACAGCTCAAAATAAGTCAATGTCTTGTATCTTTTTCCAAGTAGTTAATGTGACCCTGTCTGCTTAATACAGGTGTTAACAACGGACAATCACCTCACAAACCTACTGCTGAATCCAATGCATGTGTTCAAGTTGTTGCTGATCACCATAATCATTTGAAGAGAACAACTCGGAGTACAAGGAAACTGCTAATAAATATAGAAGCCAAGAATCAATCAGGCCATACTCTATCCATGAAAGAAGCTTTCATACAAAGTAGGTCTCATCTAAGCCCTCTAGCTTCACGTGCAGCTCTAGCATCATCCCTGTTAAGTGCTAAGAAGTGTCTTGATATGGATTTTAGTTCCTCTATGACTGCGAGCATGTTTATGAAGGGTAAAGATTCCTCAGATATATTGGCTATTTCCATTCCACTTGTTTCAGAAGCTTCCCATGCGATATCACCACACATTTCAACCCATGGGGATGCTTCATGTGAGCCTCAACCTACTAAACCTTCCTCTTGTATACCAACTAAGGTTTGGGAAAATGAAAATAAGACCTCAGATGAAATTAACTGTAATGCTGAACAGAGGACCTTTTCTCCCGCAAAAATTACTGTTGAAAGTGTTACATCAGGAGTTGCTAGTTGTACTACTGAGCTTCCAATTTCTAGAGCTAAAATGTCCTTGGTACATGCAAATTTTAATGCAAGTTCTACAGCTCCTATAAGACTAACTCGCTCAGCAACACGGAAAGGGGCTGTGATTCCAAATGATTATGTCCAGGTGAAGATCTGCATTAATGACACAAAGAGAAGGATGCCTGGGAATAAAAACCAGTTAAGTCATTCAGCAGATTCCCGGGGAAATGAAACTTTGGCCAATGAAGAGGAGAACAACTCAACCCATATTATAGATTCAGATTCATCTGAAGGAAACATTGCTGCTCCTGATCAGAGCAATGTGGCCACAATGAAAAGCACAACATCAGAAAAGATGAAAGCTGCCTTTACACCATGTAATCCTGAGATTCATATCCTTACCAAGGAAGGCAATAAAAGCTGGATTGTACACATGTTGTGTTAGTTGTTATACATATCTATTTAAGAAAAGCCTGTAACTGCAATACTTGGTTTATAAGTAATTTGCTTAGTGAATATTTTCTTAATTTGAACCCTTGAAATGATTCTAATGCTGTGGAATATATTGCAGGCAAAGATATGGACAGTGGTAGGAGTAATCAAGGCCAGAAGAGAAAAGCAGTTCATCCTATTAAGCAAGACCGGCGATTTTCTCCTCGAAATTTTCTACCTCGTACTCGCTCCCAGAATAAGGCCCATCCTGGGAAGTATAGAGGAGCCATTAGCAGTTAATACTTAAAAAACTTATATTTCTAGCTCCAAGTGTAGCAGACATCAACTATCAACTATCTAGTAAAAGTTAATTGCTCTATAGATTGTAAAGAAGGTTGAGAATTATATGAAGATGCTGCAGACTAGCTTGCTTGTTAAATGATTCTGAGTAGCTTCCCTATGTAGCGAATCTGCTATCTTTTGAACCAAGCAATGTGTTTATTCTTTTCCATTTTCATTTTTGGTGTGTGACGCTGAATTGTTTAATGGTTAAGTTTCCAGCAGACTGGTGGGTCCGTGCAGAGTAAAAGTCCTGAATCCCACTTTCATCAGTATATTGCTGTAAGATTGTTTGTGTTTCCTATGTTATTAGATGCAGTGAAGAAAGATATGTTTGCAACTAAAAAGGGCTCAATCAATGATTAACTTTAAGTACAACAAAATTTTCTGCTGCAAATTTGAGGCTGAACTTCCAAGTGATGGATGGAAGTGCTATATTTAATAATGCATACATATTGCTTCCCTGGTTTCCCCTCCTTAAGGGCGAGGGAGCTCCAGCAACCACACAGCTTCTTCGTCTTCTTTTTTCAACTATTGTCAACAACTTCAATACGTAGAACCTAAAGTGGATGAGGGAAGTTCATTACTTTCTAGAGGGTGTAACATGTTCCTAGAAATACTATCATGTTCGCACACATTCAAGCATGTATGCATGGATGTATTAGGGACATAAACAATGCCAAAGAAATGTGAGAAAATGGAACCATATATAGTTTTGAAAGGAATTTGATCCCATCAACAAACAGAAGATTGATTAGACATTTGGTCTTCTTTCTTGTTTTGCTTCAGTCCATGGAAGTCGTCACTTGTCATGATGTTAGAGAAGTAAATATTTTCCTGCATTTTCACTGGTTATGGCGTTCGGGATGAAATGATATTTCAGATTCTTTTTTTCTTTTTGCAATTTTCCACTCTGGTAGGGGACGATCAGCAATCTGTCGCCAACGAGGAAAGTGGTTGGTTTAGCACCTTCCAGGGTATTCCGCTTCAACCTTTTCCCTGTCCGCAACAAATGCCACCATTTGTATACGTGGAAGGCAAAGAGGAACTTATTCCAAATGCAAGTGCTTTGGCATTTCTTCTCATCTCATCGATCAGAATCATCATCTTTTAGAATTTGCCAAGCCACCCTGTCACCCTAAAAGTCTAAGTACATCAAATTAACATCAACGTTTTGCATTTGTTATGATTCATGCATTCTCCTTGGTTGATGTTTCCAACGAACTTAACGAAAAAGTTTGTAGTCGTTGCTCAGGAGGAAGTGTTCCTGAAACGTGGGATTTGGGAATATAAGGACAAACAAAAGCAACGGGGGACAATATTCCAGATTCTCTCATTCGTGCTAAAAGCTACAGGGCCAACGGGGAGACAGCCAAAGAAGCATCAAATTCATATGTGATGACGATTAAAAGCAAAGGTTTCCCTTAATGATCACATAATCCCATTAGCATCACCATGGTTTGCTTAAACTGACATTCGATTTGTCATTTGCCATGTTAGAATTGCAATTTTCAAAAGTTTATCAGAACTTTTTGAAATGTTTTTCAAAGTAATTTTCATAATTGTTGGGATTGTTGGAAATTCTAGTCCACGCGGCAGATTGAACTAAAACCGTTTAAGGGTTGGAATTAATACTTTAAAAAGATAAAAAATGTGCAATCAATCACCTCATGGATCATGATCAGCAGAGAGAGAAATCCCACTACCTTGGGAATGTTCACTGGATATAGACACAGCTGTTAATTCTTATAAATCTTCCAAGCTCCAAAGTTAGTACCATTGAGCAGGCATGTCATTTAAGAAACCTGCAGTGTGCCTTTTTTTTCTTCTGCAAAACCTCTTGCCTACTGATCTTAATTCTTGACACATAGCTTCACGTACAGAAACACAATTACTTTACTTTTGCCACTCAATTCAAGGCCTACTGCAAGAAAACGACATGGATACCCCCCAAGCTCTGTGGCGTGTACGCCTAGGCTCTGCGTTCCGGACTGTGCTAGCCTGCACAATAGTGGGTTGCACCACCCTCTACGGGCCAGAACCTGTCCGGCATTTCTTAACATATCCCGCCTTTTCCTACGTGACAACTATCTTAATTGTCTCTGATGCTACACTTGGTGATGCCCTGAGGGGTTGCTGGCATGTTTTATATGCAAGCATTCAAGCACTGCTCCCTTCTATGCTCAGCCTCTGGTTGATCGGACCAGCCAGGTTCAGCCGTGGACTAGCTGCTATGGCTGTTGGACTTAGTTCTTTCGCCATTGCGTTGCCTGATTCCACACATTTGATGGCTAAGAGGATTGCCTTTGGGCAGACTGTGATTGTTTATGTAGGTGCAATCATTCAAGGAGCAGAAACTGGAGTCTTAATGCACCCAATTCATGTGGCGTCGAGCACAGCTCTTGGCGCCTTGGCTTCTGTTCTAGCAATGTTGTTTCCATACCCTCACCTAGCCTGCCTCGAGGCAAGTAGCTACTTAAGCTGATTCATTAATCATGAATGCTTTGCTTAGTTTCGCATGCTATGTATCTGGGTTCATTAGATTTTGTTTTTCCGACAGCTATAAGCTTGGCCCTGCATCCATCTTCATCAATATTAATGTTCTTGCCATAAGCATAAACGAATATAGGGCAAAATAAAGCTCACTATTCAGGATCACCTTTCATGGTTCTTCTCGCCCTAGTGCAGCAAGAACTTAACGGAGCGAACGAATAAATTAACAGTGCTACCATGAAAAAATGATATGACAAAGCTCATGGTCCTCGAACCCTCTCGGCCTCATGAGAGAAAGAGGACTTACGAGAGAGACGAAAAAAAAAATTGATGAGAAATCATTTTGTGAGAGGCAAACGAGTCTTAGTGTCATTATCAGTGAGAGTATTACTGAAGGAACAGGAAAAGTGGCACTCATTTGGATAGGAGATTTTCATTCCTTGGGGTCCATTCAGTATCCAAAATTTCCTTTCATATTTATTGAGGGGTGGATAGGCCAATTTCGATGATTTGATTGATTCTTTTTGGTGGGTTTAGAGCGATGGTGGTGACTTGAATGATTTTGGGCCAGACATGTATAGTGCATAGCCCACAGTGTATGATACTGATTCTGCTAATTTCTTTTCTTTGTTAAAGGGTAAATCTAAAAGCTTGATATTTCATCAGGTATGAGCATAATAAAAAAATAATTTTCCTTGCTTATTATCTTGTTTGGTGTTATTTTTTTTATATAATTTTACAATACGTGTTCCTTAAAATATGATCAATTAAAAATTAAAAACTTTAAAATTCTAATCTTACATTAAACCTTAATGATAGAAACAAACAATTTTACAATAAGAGTGGCGTTAATATAAAAAGTTTATTAGATATGTGACGTAAAATTATGAAAAGGACAATAAACGAGAAAGAAGATTTTACCTGCCCAAATATGAAAGGAAAAACAAAAGAATAAAGGTATGAAGCATGTGATTCAGAATAATGTTTATATCTGCATTCTTTCTATTCAAGTACTGTTTGATTGCATATTGCTTCAACGCTTCAATGGTATCATGCGCTTTATGCTCAGAGTTGAACTGATAATTTAATTCTCAAACGTCTCCCACTTCCTTTGATAATTTACTACCTTGGGACTATTCATCCGATCTAGACACGGCTGTAAATCCTTGTTAATCTTCCAGGCTGCGAAGCTAACTGAGCAGGCTTAAACCTGCCCTGCAGTGTGCCTTTTTTGTCTTTTGCAAAGCCGCTTGCCTACTGATCTTGATTCTTTATACACTTAGCTTCACGTACAGAAACGCAATAACTCTGCCAAACTGAAAACCAAAGTCATTTCTTTTGCCACCAAATTCAAAAGCCCGCTGCTTGAAAATGAGTTGCAAATGAAAACCAAACTCTGCTAAACTGAAAACAACATGGATACTCCCCAAGCTCTGTGGCGTGTACGCTTAGGTTCTGCTTTCCGGACTGTGCTAGCCTGCACCATAGTGGGTTGCACCACTCCCCACGGGCCAGAACCTGTCCGGCGTTTCTTAACATATCCCGCCTTTTCCTACGTGACAACTATCTTAATTGTCTCGGATGCTACACTTGGTGATGCCCTGAGAGGTTGCTGGCATGTTTTATATGCCACCATTCAAGTCCTGCTCCCTTCTATGCTCAGCCTCTGGTTGATTGGGCCAGCCAGGTTCAGCCGTGGACTAGCTGCTATGGCTGTTACACTTAGTTCTTTCGCCATTGCGTTGCCTGATTCGACACATTTGATGGCGAAGAGGATTGCCTTTGGGCAGACTGTGATTGTTTATGTAGGTGCAGTCATTCAAGGAGTAGAAACTGGAGAGTAAATGCACCCAATTCATTTGGCGTCGAGCACAGCTCTTGGTGCCTTGGCTTCTTTTCTAGCTAAGTTGTTTCCATGCCCTCACCTAGCCTACCTTTGAGGCTAGTAGCTAATTAAGCTGATTCATGAATCATGAATGCGTTGCTTTGTTTTGCATGCTACATATCTCGATTGGTTCATTAGATTTTGTTTTCCGATAGCTATAAGCTTGGCCCTGCATCCATCCTCATCAATATTAATGTTCTTGCCATAAGCGTAACGGAATATAGGGCAAAAATAAGCTCAATATTTCGGATCACCTTTCATGGTTCTTCTCACCCTAGTGCAGCTAACCAATAAATTAACAGTGCTAGCTACCGTGGCAAAAATGATATGACAAAAGCTCATGGACGTCAAACCCTCTCGGCGTTGGGGCCATGCAGTACCCAAAATTTTCCTTTCACATATATGAGGGCTTAATAGGCCAAATTTGGTGATTTGATTGACTCTTTTTAATGGGTTAAGAATGATTTTGGTGCTTTGATTGATTTTAGGTCATCTATGGGGAGTGAATGCCCCTGTATATGAGATGATGATTCTTTGTTAAAATTAAGAGAGTGTACGCTAAATAGATAAAATGTAAAATTAATATAAGAAGTTTATTAGATAAGTAATGTAAAATTACAAAAAAGACACCAAATGAGACAGAAGATTTTTTCATGTAAATATAAAAAGAGATAAAGAAATGACCCTGAATAATGCTTATATCTAACTTTCCATTCTAGTATTGTTTTATTGCATTTTGCACTAAAGGTATCATGAACTTTATGCTCAAAGTTGAACTAATAATTTAATATTCTCAAGCGTCTCCCACCCCCGTTGATAACAGGCTTTATGGCATGTTGGCGAGTGACGACAGTAGGAATTTAGTCTGATATCTAACATAGGATTAGGCCCTAACTATTCTTGAATCTTATTAGGGATAATACTTGATGTTGCCTTTGAATATTCAATCTCCACTGGCCAGTCGACCATACTCCAAATTAAGCCTCTCGATACCTGTGATGTAGCCAACATGGGCCTTTCAGAACTGGGATTTGGGTTTACGGGGTTACAGCAAGTCTTTTGGTTCAATCAGGGTATCTAATTTAAGAGATAAAGGCTTTTTAACGATTGTACAAAAGATGTTGGCTGTCTTCAGGAATGAGCATATCAAGATTTAGTAATTTAAAAGCAGGGAAAAAATTGCATACAGGAGCTTGAGTCGTGGCCAAGCTATTTGCTAATATTATGCCTGTACAGGTCAGAAAGACATGCAGATCTTATGCAGAAAATGCTTCAAACAGGCTAAATCTCTTAGTGGAAGCTTTCTTTGCACGAGACAACGTCGCAGCACTTGATTTAATCACAGAAGCAAGGTTATTTTCTAAAACAGGAGCCAAGCTTCTTCGAAATATCAAAGGCAAACAAGTAAGCTAATATCTGCACTTTTGCTTAGAGTTTTGAGTTTCCGTCGTCTGCCTAGTATGTCAATGAGGTGTTTTCTGTTAACAGGAAGGCATGCTTTGGGAGAAACCTCTGTTCAGATTCTTCAAACCTCAGCCCTCGGACCCTGGAGAGAAATTACAAGAGATGGAAATGCCAATTCGAGGGATGGAACTGGCCTTATCCACTTGCACCTCCTTCCCCGTCAGAATGTTGGATGAAGAGCTCCAAGGTGTTCTACAAATTTCAAAGAAAAAGATAGTTCTAAAACTTGAACAAGCCAAGTGTTCCGTGCCTTTCGATGCAGCAACAGCTCCGAAGACGAAAGGAGAATACACGGACAGGTCCTCCTGGACCCAGAAAGCCATTTCAACATCCCACGAAGATCTGTCACCCTTCTTCTTCTTGTACTGTATGGAACTTCTTCAGGATGGTCCTGAGTGCATTGTAGAGAATGAGGAAGGTAAAAGTAAAATACAAGAATCAAGTCAGCCAAAGAAGCAAGGAAAAAATAGAGTGGAACTGATCTGGTGCAGCCTGCTGAGTTTCAGCAGGCGGCTAAACAGTGAAAGATTGGTTTTTGCAATCAAGTGCTCACTTTCTCTAGGTCTTGCTGTGCTGTTTGGTTTGATATATAACAAAGAGAACGGATACTGGTCAGGACTAACCATTGCAATAAGTTTTGTAACAGGGCGACAAGCAACATTTACAATGGCTAATGCCCGGGCACAGGGGACGGCAATGGGATCAGTATATGGAATTCTATGTTGCTTTATTTTCCAAAAGCTCACGGATTTAAGGTTCTTCCTTCTACTTCCTTGGATCATTTTCACCAGTTTTCTGAGGCATAGTCGCATGTACGGCCAAGCTGGTGGGATTTCAGCGGTTATAGGGGCATTACTGATCTTGGGAAGGAAAACTTATGGCACTCCAAGCGAATTCGCAATTGCTAGAATCACAGAGGCTACCATTGGACTAATCTGTTTCATTACAGTGGAAATTCTCTTGCATCCAGCGAGATCTGCTGCCCTAGCAAAAACAGAACTTTCAAGGACCATAGGAGCACTTCAGGATTGCTTTGAGGTAATAGGTCTTTATAACAGACAAAAGGAAATTTCGAGGGAACCAAGAGAAAAGCTGAAGAAGCTGAACTATCATGTCAGTAAATTGGAGAATTTCATCGCAGAGGCTGAGTTGGAGCCCAATTTCTGGTTCCTGCCTTTTCACTGCAGTTGCTACAATAAGCTTCTAAGGTCTCTATCCAAAATGGCAGATTTATTACCCTTTGCGATCCATCAAATTGAATTTCTCTCACAAGCATCCCAGAGGTTGGGAATTCATTGGGAGGAGATCCAAGAACAGATTAACTATGATCTAGAACATCTCAGGGACAAAATTGGCTCTTTAGTGAAATGCCTGGATGAAGTGTTACTAATCAAATCCCTAGCAGAGCATGAAAATGAGTTGCAAATGGAAAATGCATCCCATGACCTTGGGTTGGGCAAATCCGCAAATGGCGACTTCTCTATCCATTTGAGGCCTGAAAGAAACAGCATCGCCAAGATTGTATCGCCTTCTCTTCAACATATGATGGAAGTTGCCAATGAGATTGAGGGTAATGAAGTTGAAGAAAAGCTTAAGAGCCAACTGCTCGTCTGCCTGTGCAGCCTAGGGTTCTGCGTTAATAATATGACGAGGGAAGCAATAGAAACAGAGGGAACAATTGGGGAACTACTGAAATGGGTGTATCCAGCAAGGCATGTAAATTTGCATGAACTGTTACCTAAGCTCAAATAACTAGGGGGTGGCTTTGCAGCAACCTAGCTACCCACAATCTCATGTACAAAAAAAGGCACTTGATCCTCAATTTATATCACCATAATGCAAAAGCATTTTTTTTCTTTGTTTTTCCTCTGTAACTGGATAAGAGAGAGAGGCTTCTCACAATCTATTATGTATACTTATCATGCAGGAATCAGTGCAATTTACCGAATTCTTCAGGAATTATCTGTTTCCTTAAGGCTGTATTTGAAACAGCATGGACCAAATGATCAACAACCACCCTCCATTACAATGCCACCACCACTTTCAGCTCCAAGACGTTAGCTGCATTTCCAGTAAACTGCTGCCTCAAGTGCACTATATGTTTAAAGCAGTTGCTTAGGGAAGTTGGTGTCCATCAATTACTGCTAAAGCACTTGAGAACATGTGCATGTAAAGCAAAAAACTGATATAAATATCATGCAAAACATAAGCAATAAGATGGCATTTATAAGAATAATTTGTTGAAGGTTTTTAACAACATTGATTTGTCTCCTTTTCTGAAACAACTCAGTCTACAAAACTATCATCAAAATGTCCATTGCAGACACTTAAAAAAAAGTAAAAAAAATTTTCAATTGCCTTCATATTTTGGGTCAGCCATCACATAATGATATGCTATAACCAGAATGAAAATGAAGATTCCAAGGAAATTCGCAAAAAAGCCCAGGTCCTGATCGTCAATCATCTGGAAAAGAAACATTTCGAGCAAAAATAACAGAACAAATCAGCTTCAGAACATAATTTGCTTCCTATTCATAAGCGTATCCGGCAGCCAAAAGAACAGAAAGTGACCCAAAACAGAAACAAAAGCACTCATGAATGACATCTGAGGAAATATAAATTCTAATTGACTCTGTACTCCTCTTCTCTGTATCCTTAACCTAATGTTGTTTTATTCAAAAGTTCAAAACAGAAACCATACAGGCATATAAAAAATGGAGGACAGCCTAATTAGAACATCAAGCGCCCTTTTCTTCATTAACAAACCTAATTAGACAAGAAATTACTCACATAAAAACAGTATTACTAATTATTAACTTAATCAAATAGTGACAACTTACAACCATTCTACACACTCAAATTCAAGACATTGTCATAATATAGTGATGCCAGCATATTGATTATTCAGTTCAAAGCTTAAAAATAGGAAATTTACGGAATAAACTACAAAATAAATCTCTTAAGAAGCAATTACGGATCAGTTCAGGGACCATTTGGGAAAAGATTGAATCTTTCTTGAACTACAAGATCATAGAACTAAAAAATAGTCAGTGATTATGATTATCAAATAATGGAAATTACAATCGTAATTATCCCCAAACTGTAACCTAAAATAAGGACAGAAAAAAAATTAAAAAATCTAGAAAATTGGGAAATGGAAATATTGTATTAAAATTATGAGAAAAGAGCATGAAATTTGTTGCTAAATAAGAAAAAAGATGTAAAATTTAGGGTTCTTACGATGACAGTCTGTGAGTAATGAAGAAGACGATCCCGAAGACTTCAAAAATGGTTGGAACTCGAAAGGCCGGAACAACTAACACTCTTAACAGCGTTTATACAGGACTGCTCGAGAGCGGCTTCTAAAACGAGGTCGTTTTGTATGTTGGTCTGCAGATTTTTTTAATCACTAAAATAAAATTCCCTGAAAAAATAAAAAAGGTAACTGTGGCTGCTGGGATTCGAGCCCAGGTCTCCACGGCCACAACGTGGAATTCTTACCACTAAACTACAGCCACATTGCCTTATAAATCGAGCATAGAAATATTTACAGATCTCTTTTTAGCAATTCATTTAAAAAATTACATCCAATCAAACTCTTTTATTTTTATTTTTATTTTTGACCAAATCTGTTCTTATGACTAAAAATTGATCAATTACCATTAGTCAAAGTCAAAGTATCACTTATAATTTTATATCGAAGTGGTATTGACATAAAAAATGAAAATATCGTAAAATTATGGTATTATATCACATTATTATTAATTATTATATGTCAATATATCACGTTAACATCATTTAATATAAAATATAAAATAATATTTTAATTAATAATAATTAATCATAAGATCTTATTTACTTCAAAATTTAAACTTAATTGTCACTTTTACCTCTTTTCTAATTATTCCTCTACAAACCAACTATTGCAATTAACCTCTGTTCTACTCCCTTGCATGTTGGAAGAGGAATCTCAACTTTTTTTTCTTTATGTTCTTGTTTATTAGTTTGGTGTTTTCATAAATAGCTAAATTTCTGTTATTAATGCTTTATTTATATCAACAAACAAAATGAAGATTTCTACACAATTGTAATAATGTGTGTAGTCTGTATAACTTAAGCCAAATGTCAGTTTATGCACAACTTCCGGCTGGAGTCACAAGCCAGTCTTTGATAGTATGGAAGTAGTGACTTTGACTTTCCTTTTAGAGGAGGGGTGGATAGCTAATTAAGTTTCTTAGCTAGGCTCAACTTGTTTTGCTAATAGGCTGAGCCCGTTGTTGAATCATGGTCAGGCTTCTAATTTAAACATGGGCTAGTATCCGGATCACTCTCTGAGGTTGCTGATTGCCCCTTGGTAGCTTTTGGTCGTCTGCACACCCGGCAAATATCTAAAATACAAATCGAGAAACTGCAGCATCAAAGAACATGCAGACAGATGCCATGGAAATTAATTCACATTATAACAAGGAACAAACTTCAAAAACATTACTGAAAAATCAAAATCCACTGCAATCATCAAGTGCCACGCTCTTTTAAAACATCTCGACTACCTATGTAGGCGTAATAACTAATAACAGAATGCGGAATCATCAACATAGCGGTTCCAATAAAAATACAGAATCCCATGTTTCTCTTGCTTAGAAATATGATAGCAATCAGAAAGCAGACAAACCTTTGCTTCCATTCCTTTGATTCCCTTTTCTGCATGTTCGAAATTAGCATTTATCACAAACCCAAAGCCTTGGGTGTATTTAGCTATGCGATCTGTAACCACATTAGCTAAACCATAAGCAAATTTAAAACGGGCCATCTCCCTTCAGCTTAAGACCTTAGTACCATGATGTTAAACCTTAAAACTAATCCAGACAATTGGAATAACAGAATTTTTTATAAATTTTATTACTTTCTATTACCGAAGGAAGTTTGATTCTTTCTAATAAAACCTTTTCAAGTCCATTTACAGGAAGACAAGAAACTAATTACCATGAAGAACATGATCAAATTTAGCAAACGCTTCACGAAGTTTTTGGTTTCTGGTTCTGTTGCTAAGCCCTGAAAAACCATCAAGAATGATCATTGCAAAGATCAGTTTTTGATGAACTATATTAGAATTTTAAAAGAACAAGAAGAAGAAGGAGGGTCGTTTAAGGTGGGGCTTGTTCAGCAACAAGAGATGCGGCAGAGGCAGTGGCAGCAGAGGACTGATCAAATAAGTCGAATTTGTTGGAAAAAAATATGGCCTCAAAATTCCACTTTTCAAAGCCATATTCTCCTCCCTATAAGGCCCTGATCAAAAATATTGGTGCTTCAATGTCCAAAAAGATAAAAATGAAAAACCCCTAAACCCTGGAGAGGTCTGAAACACATAAAACGACATCGCACAATAGCCTATGGTGATGGGTGATGGGTGATGGGCGATGGTTGCCTTTCTCTAACTTACCGTGCAGTAAAAGTTTTTCAGCTGCAACTTGGTTAGTTGGCCTCAGTGCTTCGTTTCCCGCCCCCTGACAATCCCCAGAGTTTTTAATTTAATCCTTAAATATCAGATTACAGTGAAGCACTTTCCGTTTTGAAACCTGGGAAAAACAAAAACCGAATCTGCTCCCCGTTTAGCGCTCATGGCTCCCAAAACTCGCAGCCAAAAAGACGGTAATGACGCCCAAAACGACAGCAAGGATGGCGGTTCATCTTACTTCCAGAAAACAGTAAACTTTCTTCCTTTTGTTTCCTGAAACAAAAACTCTCTCTCTCTTTCAATCGCACTCTTTTCTGAGTTTTAATTTCCGTTTATTTTTTATTTGAAAAAAAAATAAGGTTTCTTTGCACGATTGGTGGTTGGTGAAAGCCGACAAAGATTTTGAAGGGAAGAGATTAGCTGTTGCAGGGTCCACATCTAGAGAGTAAGCTCTCTCCTTCTGCCTTCAGGGTTTCTGAACTTGTAATGGGAAGGCTTTTCGTTTTATGTTTTTAAGTTGGGTGAAACAGGTTAGAAGCCGTTCGGTTGTTTACCTCAGCACCGATTGTGAAAAGATACGATGTTTTTACTCTTGAGACAGCTGATGGGATTTGTGTTTGCATCAAAGGTTTCATCAATAGACATCGTACCGAAAAAAATGGGTTTTCTTCTGAGGTATCAAAGGTTTTCCTTTCTTTCTCTGTTTCAAGAAAATGGGAGAATTTGCAATCTTTAATGTTATCATTTACAGTTCTTGACGGAACAAAAATGATGATGCTTGCAAATAATTGCTATTGCTACATGATTAATTTCGTAGTGTTCCCAGATATAGGATTTAAGGTTATAGAAATTTGTCTTTTAATCTGAACAGGTCTTTACTCATTTCTCCTTTGGCTTTCCTCCTTACTGGGAAGAATATGCTAAAAAGTGTTTGGGGAAAAATGGTACCACTGACATTGAATTCGAAGTTGTCCCCAATTCTAGCAAGCCAGCGAGAGATTCAGGTTTATATACATGCGTTCTTGATCTGGTTACGTAAGACTTAGATTGTAGTTTCATAGCCAACGTTTTTAAAAGAATTCCAGTAATATCGGCTTATTTCACTTTGTATTTCTGTCTATTGGAATGGTAGATCCTAGCTTGATTTTGACTCCAAGTGAGCATGTGGAGGTTGCTAGTCAAGATAAGCATGTTCAAATGAGCTGTTTTCAGACTGCATCAAAAGGTTCTGATGTGCTTAACCCTGCTGGTAACTTGTCAAGTAAGGTTGAAGAGAGATCAAACCTCAACATTGGAGTTTCGATTGATTGTTCACATAATTTATCTGAGCAAATTGCTGCTGTTGTTGATGCCTCAAATGCTTCCAAAACACTGGACCCTGCAGCTAAGTTGTTAACATCTGTTGAAGAGAGAATAAATCATTACCCATCATTCATAGAAACTGATAATGTAAATGTCAGGAAAAAGAAAAATACAGTAAACGTCAGCCCTTATATTTCTGGAAATAGAAGAACCAGAAGTCAGATTATAAAAGGCAGTCCGAAAAAGAGCTCTGGGGTTGGATATTCTATGACGCCAAAGGAAAGACCTTCAACGACAGAGATTCAAGATGAACAAAAACTGAGTAGGAGAATAACACGCAGCTTTCCCTCTACATTAAGCCATGTCAATGAAAGATGCTCATCCTGGAAGGAGACTCGGAGAAAACTTGATTTTGAAAAAGTTGTAAGCTTTCTTGTGCTCTGTTTCTAGTTTAAGTGTTCCCCATGACTTATTGTCTGTAATATCATATTTCATACTTGGCTGGCTGTACTTGAGATGTAACCATTTCACTCTACGTCTTGGATATGGTATACGATAATCAGTTAATCACTTGTAAAAGACAGCCTGACACATACTGCTCACTTGATATTATCTCTGATGAAGAGTGACCAGGTTGTATTCACATTTTGACGTGAATTCTGCTCTCTGGATAATGGTTTTTTCCCCCATTTTCCTTTGTTATTCTGTTGTTATTTTCCTCCAGTGTATTTGTGTATGAGTGTTTTCCATTCCTTGAATTTTTTACTGTGTCTATTTCTACTTAGGCAAGTCCTGTATCCCAAGAAAGAAAAGGGAAGCAATCTGTTATCTCTCCTGAGTCTCTGAGTCTCAAATGTTCAAGATCAGGTGAGTTTACCATCTAATTTTTAAAAATTATCTTACCCATTGGTCCAAAACAGTCTTTGTGCTTTTTGTCAACCAACCCCCCCCTCCCTCGGTGCTGTTCCTTTATAATTTGTAATTAAATATCCTTTTGAATTTAGATTCGTGTCAGCTAAATACTGATCAGCTAGAGAATCCATTTTCAGTGAATTTTGTTCTTAACTTGAAAATGCACTTTATTAATCTTATTGTAATCATTTTTAGGACCTAAGCAAATGACACCAGAAATAATCTTTCTTCTCTGCTTTCTTAGTAGAATTATTATTATTTAAACTTTATTTTACCAAAAAATATTCTTAAAGTGAAGGTTCCTCTGATGAGGAAAAATATAACTGACATTATTTTATGGGGTCTGAATGTCATTGCATAACTTATCATTTTCATTAGATATGTGCTCACTCAACTCTTGATCTTATTTCTATATGATACAGGTAGACTCCTCTTACCTCGATTGGAATTTTGGCGCAACCAAATTGCAGTTTATGATCAGGTTTGTAGTTTCATTTTGGCTTATATGTTGCTTGTCTCGAATTTTAATCCCCCTCGTCCAGTTTGAGAAATTACTCTCTCCTTTCCACACCAGTCTCTCTTTGGTCATATTTTCAGGAAGACTAACTTTTGTGTCTCTACCTCAAATATTTAGACTCGTAAAATCACAGGAATTAGGGAAGAGGCGGATGTCGTGAAACCATCAGGTTTGTATTTTAAAACATGATTAGTTTTCCATAAATTCTTATAGGTTGGTTTCTCTGTACTGTTTCAAATTATGTTAACTTATATCAGGAAGTTCATTCAAGTTTAGTCATAGTTAAGTAACTTGGGTTTTATCCAAACCCTATTCCCTTCCATTTGGAAATGGCAGCATTGATCAACACAGGTATTAAGTTTGTTTCGTATAAATGTTCCATCGTGCCATTTGCAGTTGGCAGTGGTCTCCTTTCTCTAACATTTGGCTCGGACAACAGTTCTTTCTTAAAGAATATATGTTTTGGGCCACTTATAGCAGTACACTTTCAGTATATTGCATCTTATTTTGGTACATTCAGGTAGTTATACTGGGTTATTTGAATGGATATGCATCCTGCGGATTATTCTCGTTTCCACTTTGTCAATAGGGAGTAGATCTGAGCCTCAGAAAAGGCAAAAGCTTCTGTCAAGAGTTTCATAAAGAGATTTGGCCTTTCCAGTCGAATTACAAAGCTTAAGAAGGTAGGTGATAATGGCATGCTAGGCACTAAAAATTGTGACTCATGTGCAAACCTGGTTTCTATAGCCCCTCTCCTGCCTTTAGAAGGAAAGGCAGATATTGTTAGTTGTGGCAGGTTTTATGAATTAATTCAAGAAGACTACACTTTCCATGTTCATAACTAGCCATCAATAATGACAAAATGCTGCATATAGTATATGAATAATACAATTACCTTGTTTCTCATTGTAAAATGGTGAACTATTTTTGTAGGATGCAGGTGGAAATTGCAACACAGAGTGCCGGTAATGGATCATCATTTTTGGTCCCATATCTCCATGGTTATCTGCTCAGCAGTGGGTAGCTTAAATGGTTTGTTTTTTCCCTTGGTCACTGCATATATATCATTTCTGGTTAAGCTGTGCTGTAGTGACCATGTTATTTTAGCTGGTCTCCGAAATGGGATCATTACACAGCCTGCGTCTCTTGTAAAGTTTGTTCTCTCATCCCTTATTCCAAATCTTCTCAGACAATCGGCAGTATATCTCTGTTATCCTGTTTATATGCTGTAAACATGAATTTGACTAGTGATTGTAAATGATTGGTATGGTAAATAGGAATCAGGCAATTGCTTTTGCAGATTGTAGTATTTATTACGAACTCCCATCCCCTATTTTATTACCACTATTTGTCTTTGTTAAATGGGCAAAAAGCCTTTGAAAAAGGCTAGAGCTCGCGCGCAACCCAGGTATAAAGGTACTTCCCCTTGGATTTAATATGAATCATTGAAACAAAATCTCGTTCCAGCAATGACCTATTTGAAACGCTGCTTAACAGAACATTTAGGCATTGTAAAGCATACATTTTCTCTTGAAGCAGAAGAAAGATTCACCCCTAAGGAAAAATTCTCAAGTACCAATTACAAAGGAGATCACACAACATGAAAAGTAGTAACATCAAGAAAAGAATTCTGTTGATCAGATGATCCATCGATATGCAGTGCTGGAAGTATTACCCAGTAACAGGATGGCAGTCATAAGCAGAAAAACCTCCACATTAGCAGAGATCTGAATAAATACAAGGGCATTTAAAGAGCACACAATACATATTCATTCCCGGCCAAAAGTTTAGCTTTAGCTCCCACTGAATCAGTTAGATTTTGCTTAAGTTTAAAAAGCATCAGCATGTGGTGTAGACAAAATTTGAGCCATAACAAACTGAAGAGGCATTGCAGATGTCTTTATAAGATTTGGTCATGCAAAAGACAACTAAGTTGCCTCCATGATAGAGTCTCCCGATTTAACTTGATTCAAGGCTGACCTTGCATGCTTACTTTCTAATTCCATTCTTCCACTTGTGTTGTCAGTGGCTAAAGTAGCATATATATCAACCGATCTCAGTTAATAACTTTTCAAGGGCCTCAGTTGCAAGAGGAATATACAAGCAATCCTGGCCATCAGAATTCCTTCGGGTCTTGACTAGCTCATGATCTTTGAACTCAGTCAAGTGGGCATTCAGTGTAACCTGGCTACTGACAAGGAAACGCTCTCGAGAGACTGGGTACAAATTATCAATTGCCATCCCTAAAAGGTTAAAAGATATCATTGAGTATATTAAGAACTAAAATAATGAAAATGATACTCTAGATCCCAAACAACTAACTACCTACCTTCATCATCAGGATGAGACAGTTGATATTCTGCAAGAATCCTGAACACACTCTGAGCATTAGGTGTCAAACTCTGTAAAACTATTGCAGCTGTTTTGGCACTCTGGTTACTACTGCCATGTGCAAGAATCATAGGAAAGAAGAGCCCCTCAACCTTGTATGGTGCAAATGTAGGAACATGATACCAGTACCAGTTAAATTGTGTATGAACCATCTTCTTGTCCCACACTAACATCAAAGCCAAGTGGAAGTTATCAGGATCAATGCCCTGTAAAAATCTTTAATATTCTACAATGCTAAGTGTCTGCATTTCTATAGGGAAGGGAATTTATTACATTTATCGAAAACCCACATAAGAGTATTACTGAAGACCACTAACCTCCCAACAGAGGCCTAAAAATGATATTCTAAAGATTACAGTGCAAGGGGGAACTAAAACTATGTTTTCCATTTCTATCCTTAGCCACCGCACTATCAAGATAACTAATAAGAATTGATATCAACATTTAAAACAGATAAGTAAGCAAGCTAACCTATTTATTGATTGACAATAGAAACAAGAGTTTACTTACAAAGAGGTGCATTCACATGGTCAATAGAGGCAACAACACGAACATGAGAACAAGAAGCAAGTTGTGCGAGATATTGTTGAGTTTCAGAATCTCTTAACCCAGGCCCATCAATATTGTGAATGACAATGCATATAAAACTATCACACTCCATCTCTGATTCATCTAAAAAGGCTAAAAGATCATCCATAGATCGAGAACTAAATGGCTGTTGAACCTTAGGCAAGTTGCCTGATGCATTCCTTCGTTTTGATTTCAATTGTTCCCATAGAATCTCAGCCAAGCCTATTACAACCTACATTCAAAACATTGAGTTCTTAATGAAATGAGAGCTCAATAAACATTTATAGAGAAAAAACCAATTGAACATAAAAAATGTGCAAACTGATAGATGAAAATATAGTTTGAGTACCTAATTGCAAATTTTTCTTCAAGTACCAAATTGACAATTTCACTATAGTTTGAATACCAAATGTGTTTTTAACCCTTAAACTAATAAAGCAGCCTTGGAATATTATCTAATGAAATTGCACCTGTTTAATATTAACTGATTGAAGGTAGCCATTGATTACAACAACAGAATACTCTGTCAAAGCTGTAGAAGCAAAATCTTCAAGCAACGCCTTTTTTGATCCAAACCCAAACATTAGAAGGCCAAAACCACACCTGGAAATTTATTAAAAAACACAGTAAGTAGTGGAACATTAAGCCATTACTTAATTTCAAGGTATCATCTTGGAATAAAATAAATAACTTTAAACTACCTTAGCTCAAAAATCCATTTTGGGTACAAGCATTTGTAACTTTTTATTAGAGCTGCAATGTCTTTTTGATGCTTTGGTTCAATATTAGCTGCAGCTGCTCTGAGTTCCTGCAATGTTGAAATAACCAATAATAAATGAAAGCTCAAGGTGAGGAGATGGGAGTAATGGGAATTTCCAGGCAAGTACCTGTTCATCAACTACATTGATATCAGAGAGTTTACGGGCAGATTTTTTTCCAGAACTACCTAGTTCTTTAGCCAGGAAATAGTTTCTTGAGAATCCGAATTCCTCTTCATCTACCTCGTTAAAATCCATGTCTTTCAATCTGTTTAAACTGTAAATATTGTAAAGCTGAGCTGAATTGGGTGTAAATGTGACACCAAAATCCAAATTAAAAAAAAAAGAATAAAAAATTCACTAAACCCAAGAAGAATTTCATTTTCCTAATAGGAAAAGGGTTTCTACTCACCCCCACACGAAAGAATTCCTTGTGAAAGCCCCTTGTTGATTTGTTTTTGATGATTTAATAAACAATAATCACAATGGCATAAACCAAAGCATAAAAAAGGTTTGTACAAGGAAATGCAAGGGTGAGAGTTTAGGTGTCTTTGTGCGAAGATGTATGAGCATATTGAAGCTTACTAGCTTAGCGCATTTTTAAATTGAATATTTATGGTAGGATCTCCCTAACATAAAGAACTTGCATATCCTCATGAGAGTGGTTAACTTATATGACTATATTCCACAATGTGCTTTGAAAAGCAGAAGTCAAACACATCTAAAATAAACAATAAGGGAATGGATCGGGGAACAACATGGCTGCCCTTATACTAGCAAATATGTCAAGAACATGTAAAGGCAATATTAAACCAGATGCTTGCATACTTAATCACAAGCCTGACATGTTCATTTGAAAAAACACAGCATATGTAAAAACAAAACCTACGGCCTATAAATAAACAAAGAACTCAACAAAATAAACTTAAACACACAAGTAGTAGGCTTACATGAATATCAGTATTTATGACCAAAAAAAAACAACCAAGAATAAAAAAAAAAATAGACAGCTTCAAATTATTACAGAGAACAATATCCAAATCAAGCCAAAAATTCCATGTCATATAAATAAAGTTCATGATGCCAAAGAAGAAGCATGCCTTAACTGCAAAGAACACAGACTGATGCCAATGTCAAGATCAATGGACAATAAGACTAATCTTGTAACTGCTTAGTTTGTTCAATAGAGTTGGGAGAAATGTGGTTTCTATATGACTGGAGCACAAAACACCGCCTACCAATGAAATTCAGATATTAGCTTCTAGACTACATCACCTATTATTTTTCCACACATGCTTAATGTTATACAAACAAAATTACCTAAATTTTCTGAATGATAAGCATCATTAACTCTATATCTGTCTGCACTACCGGTACCTTTATCCCTCAAGTGCCCAATATCGCCTGTGATCATAAGAAATAATATTAGTACCCAACTGAATTATCCATTGAGAACATCAAATCCGACGAAAGGAATCATTCTTCTCTTCTTCTTTTTTTTCATGCATTTCATGAGTAAGATAATTATACATTTTGTTTACATAATCTAAGCAATTTCAGATGCGTTAGGCCAAAGACAAGGCAGTGAATAGTGGCTCACAAGCCTTCTGAGACGAGATGATAAATTCTTAAAATGAGCATCTTAAACAACATGATAAAAGACCAAAATCTTTGACTATCAAAAGAATTTGAAAATACAAATAGGGAAAGATTGGCTACGGACTGAAACGAAGGCATCCCTCCCATACGAAAGGGATCAAACAAACTATTACTAACCGATGCACGGTTTATGAATAATCTCTGGCCTTTGGACTGCGAGGAGGTCGTGGTGGGTGGAGCTGCGACGCTGAGAAAGCTGCTGTGATGAGATGGTGCCTTCAGCTGCGAGGCGGGGGTTCGCCTGAGAACCAGCCCCAGCGAACGGGAGAAAGTGGGCAAAGGAGAAGAAAACGGGGGGGAAACGGAAGAGCGGAAGAAAAAGGGGAGAGGCGGGAAATGAAAGCGGGAAAGAAAAGAGGGCAAAGGAAAATGAAAGAAGGGAAAGGGCAAAGTGACAGCTGATCTGAAAAAGACAAGTGGAAAAAACGGCGCAGCTTGGTGGAGCGAGAGGGAAAATATGGATGGAGAAAAATAAAATAATGACATAATGTTGAAATAAATTTTTTAATTATTAAAAAATATTTAAATTTTTTTGTTTTTATTATATTTAATTAAATTTTATATTTTTATTTTAAATTAAATAAATTTTTATTAGTAATGACCTATTAATTTTCATATGACATGATATTAATTGAATGATAAAAAAATCACATGATTAAATTATTATAGTAAATTAACATAATATACCATCATCAATTATGATATATTAATATTTCACATCATAATTAATTATAATATTTTAACATATCATGTTAACATAATAAGTTATAAAATAATAAATAATATTTTAATTAAATAATTATTAATAATAAGAATTTATTTGATTCAAAATAAAAAGTATAAAGATTTATTTAACTTAAAATAAAAATATAAAGATTTATTTAAATTTTTTTAAATAAGCTAGGGGCCTTTTTGTATATTATGCTTAAAATAAATATACAACTATCTTACTTAAATATTTTTTAGTATTTGTTAAAATTAAAAAAATATTAAAGTAATAAAAAAGGTTTTTAAATTTTTAATGTTATTGAAACTTAAGAATTTACCATTATATATTAATTTAATTCGATCACATAAAAATTTACCAATGATAAATGTTGTAAATAAATTTTAGTATTTGTATTCATTATAAAAAATAATAATTTTGTTAATTAACTATTAATTAATCAATATATTTATTATAATCATATAATAATAAAGTCAAAATAAATTAGGATAAAACCCTAAAGAGGTTAAGGTAATTTAAACTTTGGAGTAAAATGTACTATTATCAACTTTAATGTATTACTATACTATTAATCTATAGTAAACATATGTTAATTTCAAGGGAAAAAAAAAAGAAGAAAAGTTGGGAAAGCAAAAAAGCAAAATCTGGGCGGGAATTTGGATTTTATGGAATTAATCCACCTAAGCGATCCGAGCATACCACGCCAACTAGAGCCCTTTGGGAACCGACGGCCGTAGATGAGAACTTAATCGACGGTGAAAAACAGCACATATACACAGGACATGGATCACTACAGTAACCGTTGGATAAAATATTAATCTAACGGCTATCCTCAAGCAGCCACTTCAATTTCAATCTCCAACAAATAAAATCAAAAGCCACGGATCGATAATATTGGCCGTTGATATGGTTCCAATCCAACGGCGTATTTTCTCTTCTCCCGTTGCTAATCACGAAAAACACACCCCCACCGACCTCTCTATTTAAACCCCCTCCACATGCCGCTCCGTTTCCCAACAGCCTAACTCGAAACGAAAACCTTTTTCAGACTTTCATTCTCTCGAAACCAATTCTCACAAGAAAATGTCTGGCCGTGGAAAGGGAGGTAAGGGATTGGGAAAGGGTGGAGCCAAGAGGCACAGGAAGGTGCTTCGAGATAACATTCAGGGTATCACCAAGCCTGCGATTCGAAGGTTGGCTCGTAGAGGTGGTGTGAAGAGGATCAGCGGCTTGATCTACGAGGAGACACGTGGCGTCCTCAAGATCTTCCTGGAAAATGTGATCCGTGACGCCGTTACCTATACGGAGCACGCTAGGCGAAAGACTGTTACTGCCATGGACGTCGTCTATGCTCTCAAGAGGCAGGGCAGGACTCTCTACGGTTTCGGTGGTTAGGTTGATTTAGCCGGGTTGATTGGTTGGATTGTAAATCTTTGGCAACAGTTTGTTGTAGGCTTTTGTTTCACTCTTCTGTAGTTGGATGTTTTAGGTTTTTATTTTTCAGTTTCTATTGTTAGAATGTATTTTGATTTCAATCTGAAATGAAATTTATCTCAGAATTTCATGTTGAAATTCAATTTGAGTTCTTGATATTTGCTTTTAAAAAATGGGATTTCCGGGTCTCATTTCTAGGGTTCCTTTCGAATTGGGATATCGGTTGGTAGCTTGGACAATACCAGTGGGCTCTCCGGTGGAATCCCCTAAAACTGGTTAATTGCGCTTTAAATCGTCGGATAACAACTCAAGAAATGTGCATAGGTATGCCCACATTAACGTCTTCAAGGAATTGAACTCTAAATCAAATCGGCACGTTTTAGTTGACTTTTTTCCAAAGACTGGTGATTAATTGGTCAATCCATGTTTAACTCAGTTCTCATTCCGTGGAGTGGAGAGAAGACACGTGCTGATGGGTGATGGAAGTGTAAATCATAAAGCCGAAGGGAAATTAGACGCCAAGCCACATTTGTCAATAAAACTCAGAATTTTTTTATTAATTACTCTATGTTTTATTTAATTTCTTTCCATGTCTTCTAACTTTCACTAATTACTCTTATGACTAATTATTACATTTATTTCAGCTTAGTAATTTTATAATCTTTTAATTCGAAATTAAATAATTTAATTTAATTTTTTCTTTCATTTTATTTTTTTTATAAATCTTCATTTTGAAAATATTTATTTGAATTAAAAAATATTGAAACATAATGCAAGTTATTTATTTAAATTTGACTTTAGATATAAACTTTTTTTTAAAAAAAAATTTGTATGGACTTCAAACTTAATTTTTATAAAAAAAATTAATGTATATATTTTAAAATCAAGTAATTAAGTAAAAAAATATTTTTATATATTTTTTAACATCATTAATTTTTTATACTTAAATATTTAACTTATTCATAAGTATATATATTATTCACTTAAGTATTTGTATTTTTTAAATATTTTTTTTAACTTAATTCCTTAATATCTTAATTTTGTTGCTTTAAAAAAAATTCTTAGTTTTGTTCAATTTTGGTCCTTATATTATATATTTTTGTTCAATTTAATATTTTTTGATATGTCACATATTATTAACACGTCAATATTGTCACATTATCATATTAATGCCACGTTATTAAATTTTGCCATGTCAGCATTGTATCACCATTGACATCATTTTTTTTAATAACAAAATTGAATGTCGTTAAGATAAAAAATTAAATTGAAGTAATTTTTAAAATTAATAAATTAAATTATTTTATTTTTGAATATATTGACTAAATTAAACAAAATGTATGAGTATAAGAATTTCGTGGGTATTTTAACCAATATAATATTAAAAGGGAGAATCAGATTATATGGCATTTAGTATTTCTTAACTTTTTTTTGAAAACGCTTATATCATTTTATTTATTGAATCACTTATATCCATCGCGATGGCAATCAAGTTACAAATTTCCTCTTCAATTAAGGTTATTCACATCAAATACTTAAGATTTTCTTTAATGTCGAAGGTAAGCTCAATAGTATCTTAAAGTTAGATGGAATTAATTTATATTTTGTTAGATTTAAAAGTAAAATAGCTCCACCCTTTGAGTTTTAATCGCAATTTTGAACAGGTTCATTAATTTTCAAAATTGATACTTTGCTCAAAAAAATATATTTCGTTAGACACATAGATCTAGCTGTTAGTTAATTAATAGTGTTTTTGTTAGTTTGATGATGTAGTAATATTGAAATGATAATTTTACTTTTTATTAATTTTAAAAAGTATTATTATATAATTTTATTAATTTAATAAATATAATAATAATTTTTAAAATTAATAAAAAATAACATTTTAGTCTTTTTATAATCTTTATTAACGGTGTTTGCATATTTGAGCTAAGTGACCACTCTAAAAATTAATTGATCCGCTTAAAATTTCAATTAAAGCTTAAAAGTGTTGGGGTATTTTACCTTAAATTTAAACTATGTAAGGGGGTAGAACTTCATATCCATTTTATTTCTTGTGAGCAAGTTAGAATATTTAATCCATGTTTTCATAGACTTCATGCAAAGGAAGTAGTACTTCCCTGAGTATTTCTTCATGACATATCTCATGTAATATTAGAGATAAGGTTTATATCCCCTTCATGTACTTCAATTTTGCATGTTAATAAAATTTTAACAAGTGATTGACGCTAAGAGATCTTCTAGCTTTTTTTAAAAAAAAGAACACATACAATTAAGTCTCACATTTAAGAAAATTAACTCAAAATTGCAACTTTTAAAAATTTTCACATTCAGCTTAATTTAAGTAATATATATATATTTAATTCATTAATTTCATACTAATTACATGAATGAAGCATTATAAAATGAAATTGACTGAAAATAAGAAGATCCATGAGGCTGACCTTTGGTGAATTAGGCAAGAGTTCATTATTTTATCTCTATTAGGCCTCTACAAGCTTAATAAGCCTTTCTCCACTCCTTTTTCTGTCGAGCCATCTTCAATTGGTTGTCCGCCCTTATCTGGGACTCCTTTGGGCCACCCTCCTTCCCCCTTTTTATCCTTTTACCTTTCTTGGTGCCCTAACCGCCTCTTCCTTCCTCAAATACGGCATCGTTTTACTTCCCTAAATAACACACTTAATATTTTCAATTATTTACCAAATAATCCCTAAATATGTTCTATGACCAAATGCCACCAATAAAATGTGGGAGCTGATTGTGTTAGTTTTGTTAACTGTAATTATTGTACCAAATTTAAGATTATATTTTTGTACTTGCAACAATCCCTCCCAAATAGTGAAAAGTGTGTTACTCAATTTCAAAATATTATTTCGTGGAAAATGTTATTGTCAAAATACGTAATTGACACCAAACAATAAGTCAGTAATTTTTTACAAAAAATTTCAATAATTTTCTACAAAAAATTTCAATAATTTTCATTGATATTAGTGTCAAAATTCATAAAATTAATTTGTAAAAAATTCAGCAATAATGAGATAGTATTTTCTATAAATTACTTTTAACATAATTTTCTCCTTTGAAACTAAATTGTTATCTTAACCTTGCACAAATTAATATAACTAGTATTTATAAATTAATTCACAATAGTATTTTAACCTTGCATTAGAGAGAATATCAAAATATTTAATTCATTAGTTAATATATAAACTTTTTACTTAAAGAACAAAGTTCCAGTGTATTTATAATATAATGATTATATCAATATAACTAGTGCTTATGGACATGATGAAATTTTGGTAACTTTTGCTCCGCCTTCATGTTTTTTTATCTCATAGGCATTTAAATTAATTTTTAAAATTTGTTAACGACTTTTGGTGTTTATATTTCAAAATTAATAAAGTTAAAATAAATTAGGATAAAACCTTAAAGAGGTGAAGGTAATTTAAACTTTGGAGTAAAATGTACTATTATCAATTTTAATGTATTACTGTATTATTAATTTATAGTAAACACATGTTAATTTCAAGAAGAAAAAAAGGTGGGAAAGAAAAAAAATTAAAATCTGGGCGGGAATTTGGATTTTATGGAATTAATCCACCTCAGCGATCCGAGAATAGCACATCAACTAGATCCCTTTGGGGAACCGAGAGCCGTAGATTCGAACTTAATCGACGTTGCAAACAGCACATGTACACATGACACGGATCCCTATATTAACCGTTGGATTAAATATTGATCTAACGGCTATCCTTTTCCATCCACTTCAATTTCAATATCCAACCAATAAAATCAAAAGCCACGGATCGCCAATATTGGCCGTTGATAAAATTCCAATCCAACGGCATATATTTTCTTAGCCGATTGCTAACCCCAAAAAACACACCCCAACCTACCTCCCTATTTAAACCCCGCCACGTACGCCACGTCTCTCGACCGCCTAAACTTGAAACAACGATCTGTTTTCACACTTTCATTCTCTGGAAACCAACTTTCACAAGAAAATGTCTGGCCGTGGAAAGGGAGGCAAGGGTCTGGGAAAGGGGGGAGCCAAGAGGCACAGGAAGGTGCTCCGAGATAACATTCAGGGTATCACCAAGCCGGCGATTCGAAGGTTGGCTCGTAGAGGTGGTGTGAAGAGGATCAGCGGCTTGATCTACGAGGAGACACGTGGCGTCCTCAAGATCTTTCTGGAAAATGTAATCCGTGACGCGGTTACCTATACGGAGCACGCTAGGCGAAAGACTGTTACTGCCATGGACGTCGTCTACGCTCTCAAGAGGCAGGGCAGGACTCTCTACGGTTTCGGTGGTTAGGTTGATTTAGCGGGGTTGATTGCTTGGATTGTAAATCTTTTGCATCAGTTTGTTGTAGGCTTTTGTTTGACTCTTCTGTAGTTGGATGTTTTAGGCTTTTATTGTTTTGGTTTCTATTGTTAGAATGTATTTTGATTTCATTCTGAAACGAAATTTGTCTCAGAATTTCATGTTGAAATTCAATTTAAGTTCTTAATATTGTCTTTTAAAAATTGTGATTTCCAGGTCTTATACCTAGGGTTCCTATCAAATTGAGGTATCGGTTGGTGGCTTGGATTATACCAGTGGGCTCACTGGAAGAGTCCCCTGAAACTGGTTAATTGAGGTTTTAGTCGTTGGATAACAAATCAAGAAAATGTGCATTGGTATGCCCACGTTAACACTTTCGAGGAATTGACCTCGAAATCAAACCGGCACGTTAATGTTGATTTTATCCTCTAGACTTGTAACTGGTCAATCCAAGTTTAGCCGACGCAATGGACCTGGTCTTGATATATTGTTCAGCGGTTTCCGATGACGAACTCAAGGCACCAGGAGACGGTTTCCGATGCCGAACTCAAGGCACAAGAGACGGTTAATCGAGAGCGTAAGGGTTAGTCTGTCAAGGCTGCAATTAGATTTCTGTCGCAGCGGATTCAGAGTGTACAAGGCAAGATGGTTAGGGGCATTGCACACAATTGATTTAGTGAAGAGTTCGACACGGTGGCATTTTGATATTTTGCAGACAGCAACTAGGCGTGTGGTTTACAAATTGTATCAAATTCTAAGACTTCTGCCACAGAAAGATCACTGTTAACATGTAATGTTAAGATTTCTAGAGGAAATTTGGACATCATATCTCCCATCATTCTAGAATGGTGAATTTGGGGCTAGTGCCATGGATTGTAGGTTATTGACATTGAATTGATTATGTTCTTGGACGTTGGTGATTGCCGCTTTGCAGATGGTGACAGTAAGAAAAACCAATCGGGAGGCGGTTGTACTTACCAGCGCCTATAGTATAGAAAGGGGTAAAGTATAGAAAGATGCTTTGGGTCAATTAAAAAATTAAAAAAAGGGTAGATATTCTATCTTTACCGGGTTAACCCAATTGGACAAGCAAATTTCACAGAAAAGTAGTAAGACTACGATGTTGAAAAGTTCAAAAAGCTATCTGCAATGCATCCTTGTTTGCTCAGTAGTGAAGCAGGTCCAGGATTTAACCGCCTGTCTATAACTGCAAAGAATCCCCGTCAAACTGGCAGATCATTACAACATTTATTTAACTCAGTTCTCATTCCATGCCTTTGCTAGAGTGGAGAGAAGACACACACGCTGATGGGTGATGGAAGTGCAAATCAAACAAAAGCAGGAGGGAAATTTCTAAAGGACAAGCAATATATGTCAATCAACTCAAATGCAATCTCAAAATTAAAGCAACTACTAGTGGATGATGCCCAGTACTCCAAACTAAACTAAGGCAGTCATCCAGGAGTCTTTTCCCTTCTCCAATACAGGTGACATTTTGACAGACAGAACATATACTTTTTGCAAATTGCTATGATGTGTGCTAAGGCGAGGTAGGAGCAACAACAGGTGACGTGAAACAAGCTGATTGAGGAACTTGGTGATGCCATCACTCAGTTTGCATAGCTTCTTTGTGGTAATTTTCTAAATCAGTATCAAGATCCTCAGCAGATACCTTTTCCCCCTGTCCTCTACCCTGTCCACGACCTCTCCTGGCTCCACGTCCAGGACCACGAGACCGCCCTGAGAAACCACCTCTTCCTTGGCCACTGTTACATTTAATCATACAAATGTTGTTCAGTCAAATAAACAAATCTGAATACAGAATATAAATAACAGAGGAGACACTAGTCTGTAAACAAATCATGCCAGTCAGCAGTGCGCCCACAGTTTTATAGAAATTTCATCAAATATAATATTTGACATAATTGAAAAAATACAGAATACACCTCAAAATGAGCAATGTGCAGCCACTCCTCTGTTGTTGTATCCTAACCCTCTGGACTGACAACAAAGAACAGAGCAGAAAAGGCTTGACTGAAGTTATGACTACACAGTACATCTATTAATGCCCTTAAAGTAAGCCTATCACTTATGAAGATGCACGGTGGGGATAACGAATCTAACCACCATGAGTATTGTGATCAAGCCAACCACCATGAGTATTTTGATAAAGCTGATAGCTTTAGCAATGGTGACTTACTTCTTGTATGGAAATACCTTGTTCTGATGGGGGACACTGATACTCAAAGAGAATGAATGCACAATCAAAGACATTCAAGTTCTTGCTCAACTACAAAAGCAAACACAGGCTTACAAAGAACAATAACCCATCAAACAAAATGCATACCAAGAACCCTAGAACAAGCAAAGAGCTAAAGTAACTTATGAAATCATAAAAAATATTGGGGAAATTGACAAGCAAACCTTCTGGGGACACCATTTTGATTTGCAAATTTGCCATTGGTAGCTGGGGGAAGAGCAACTGGCGTTGCAACATTTGTTCCTACAATCTCAATCTTCATTGGCTTTCCATCTAATTGAACACCATTGTATCTTTTGAAAGCCACAGCAGCATCTGTTCTTCTTGAAAAGACAACTTCAGCAGTTCCCTGAGATAAATAGCTTTGTCTAATTACAGCGGGGTTTACAGAGTTTCGGTGTGGATGAGATTATGTCGAATTCAATAGAGTACCTTTGATCTTCCGCTTCTATCATAGTGGACAGAATAGCGTTTCATGTCACCAACTTCTGAAAATAGCTCCTGCCACACAAATAATTTCAAATTAATAACACAGAACCTCATGCTTCTAGGTTATATCTCTTAAATATTATAATTTCAAATACTTTCTCTTGTTTGGAAAAGGATTGAACCACATGAAGTTGCATACATATCCCCTTGGAAATAAAAAGAGAACCATTGCCAACAGGGCAAAGCGAGAATTGCAGAATTGATGCCACCAAATGAATGAAGAGAGCATTGAAAATTGTTTAATTTTAGAAGCAGAATTATCTTTATGGTTACAAATTTGATGAGAAACCTATGCTTATATAGTGAAGCAATAAGATACCTTTCCAATTCCATCTTAACCAAAGATTTCGATTCCAGGATAAGGACTATGAAATAAACATTTTACTGCTTCAAGCTTAATGCTAGGTCCTGATCTATGAGCTTAACGAAAAATCAAGCAACTTATGAAGAAATTGGCGTAAATCCCAACAAAGAAATCAGTAGTTCAATTCCACAGTAACTTTAAATGACAAATCTTTAAACGGTCATCAAAATTCTAACAGTCGGTTACCAGTTCAAATCACGAAAAATAGAGATTCAACAAATATCTGAAATGAAAAAGAAGTGACCTTAATGTCTTCGTTAGAAACTCCATAATCCAAGTCGGAAATGTAAAGCTTGGTTCCAGTCTCTATCGAAGAAGCTCGACCAGCAGCTGACGGAAAACCCGCTCCATCGTCCACGAACATATCGTGCTGCCAAGTCGTATCCGGAGCTTGAACAGGCTATTCCAATTTCGATAACAAAAAAAAAAAAGAAAAGAAAGGAGGAAATTTTATTACCATGAATCGAACACACAAAGAACGCATAAAGGAGAAAAATAAGCAGCAATGGAATTCGGGTGCTGACCTTGGAGTACGGCGCGGTACGGTTGGCGGCGCGATTGGGAAAGCGACGAGAGGGACCATTGCCGGAATTACGAGGAGGACGGGTTCGGGTGGGTCCGGACTTCCTGTTGGATTTGATGAGGTCATCTAGAGACATGTCCAGCGGGTTCGTCATCGTTTACTTTTGGATGAAGGAAGAAAGCAGCCTTAGCTAGGGTTTTGGCAACTCTGGCAGTGGCTGCTTTGCTGGAGCTCGTGGAAGAAGAGAGAGAAAGAGGAGGTCGAAATGCCTGAGCTTATAGTATCTCCATATCAATATCTGTTATTAATATTGTCCAGGACCATTTACTTAAAAATGGTTTCGTGGTGTAGTTGGTTATCACGTCAGTCTAACACACTGAAGGTCTCCGGTTCGAGTCCGGGCGAAGCCATTTGTTTGTATTTTGGGTTTAATCTCAGAGTGGGCTACATTAGGGTCTCAAATAAGTGGGCTATTGTTGGGCTCGTGGACTTGACTGTGGCCTTATCAGTCTCTTTCAGCCAGGTTTAGATTGTATTGTTCTTGAGCCGGAAAAGGCCATTTTGGCCTTTTTTGAATTGGACGACAGCTTGCTTTATAAATGAGAAACACCTCCTTTTCATGAGTCGTAGTAAATTACCAATTGGCCTAGGTAAATCTAAGTTACAGTATAATCGATAATTTTGACAGAACTGAAAGCTTATCCAATGAGACAGGCAGCTCAGGAGGCAAGACAAACATCTTTAATGTAATAATCCTGTGATAATATTATAATCCAAAATGTGGGTAAAATCCTGTCCTCAAATGCAGCAGCCAACCTTGTTTTAACAATTTTTATCTCCTGGACGGCCAATTGCCCCTAAGAACTCCAGCAAAAGGCAATCTCCTTCTTCACCACTAACTGTTTTAATACCATTTCTTTTTCCCCTATACATGCACCTCAACCAAATAATGGCCACAACATTAATTTCTATATTGATAAATCCTATGCAATTAGTGGACTTTTTGCCACTCTTTGTTACAGTTTCTTGTTTTACTTTAGAAAAATTTGTCCATCAATCTTTATCAAGATCAGTCAAATTAACCACGACTCTTTGTTTCTATATTTCTAAGCCTAAAGAGAATCCCATGGAATCCACAGGAAATCATGCCCTGATGGAATTTATCCACCAAGCAAGAGTTCACCTTTATATGTTTGAAAATATGATTTTCCTGGTCCAAATGTATGAATTTGAGTAATTGGCTAAATCTGTTAAATCGGACAAAAAATATTGTTAGCCAACTTAATTGATCTCTACATATTTTAATCAAATCGATTGATTTTTTTTACATTAATTGATTAATCGATTTAATTGGAATACTAGACTTGAAAGCGCTCAAGTCCGTTTCTCTTATTTTTATGCTAATTAATTACATAATAAATAATCGAACAAACATTACATAGTAAATATTTAATTTATTTTTTTTGTTCATTTTAAACGGTTTTAACTTTTTTAATCCAATCAAACTAACTTAATCAACTTTTTTATCCAAATTAATTATTTTTCTTAAATAAAAATTTATCATTTAATTTAATTAAGATGATTATATCCGGTTTTTGCACACCCTTACATGTTCATGAACAAAAGAAATACTTGATTATTATTCGGTTAACTTCCCTTTGTATATGCAGTGTAAATGGCCATGGAAGTAGCTAAGACCGTCGCCAAGAAAATGACAGCTCCCTGGAAACGGGCTAGTGCTGATATTGGTGGGTACATATTGCATAGTGTCGCCAAATTGGTATCGTGATACTTAGTTTTGGTTGTGGGCTCCATTCTTCCCCAGGGGCAGCCAATCCAATCTCAAGTCAACGGTGAAGATAAAGATGGGAAATGAGTTTAACCATGGCTTGATTTTCGTGGTGCTTGGTTTGGACTTCTCCTTCATCACCATAAAGCATAAAAACATTAAAAAAGGCTTGTTAGCGAGTGATTTGCGTGATCTATGTTTTCGTAAGTGCAAAACCCATGTGAGCACTGCCTTTTTCCCTGAATATGATTGGTTGTTCTTCACTCATCCCTTTGCTGATTGGCACTCTCGTCCACTCACGGACGCCTTGCCCTCGAGTTTTGGGCCTTTCTCTTTTGCTGTGAGTGCTCAGGATTAACTGTTTAGTCATACATACGGCATGGTGGAAGGAGCAGGTCCCAAAGTATGTGTTCCGCTACAATTGGAATGGTTAAAAAGTAGAGTTATTCAAAGCTCAATCATCATGATGGCAGATATGTGAGTATTATTTTGCATAATGCTACACTCATGGATTTGTTTAAATATTGGTCATGATAAGCAAATGAACTGTTTACCTAAGCATTTCCACTCACGGGCGCCTTGCGTTGTGTTGAACTTTTGATACTACTTGCGCTGTAGCATGATCAGTTTAATAGTCGAACCCTTTGTATCTTTGATCCTTCTGCCATGAGTTCTTAGTCGTTGATGTTGTGCTACAAGCTAGCAGTTGTTCTAATTCATGTGTTACACCTTAAATCAATTACAACGATAAAGAAAATACCCAAAGTGATAATGATCAAGCACACTCTAATGGGTTTCTTCATCCGCCTTTAGCTAACCCTACCCTAAATCCCACCTATGATCTTTACAGTTGTGCAGTATTATTAAAGAGTAAGGTAGTAAGAACTTTGGTGTGCTGAAGAAGAGAGCAACATGACACTGTCCCCTCAACACACTCTTTGAAATGCCACGTGACACTGCCATTTAAGTTGTTTGGGGTGATGTGGCAAGAGGCGTGAGTGACATACTGACGTGGTCTGTCATGTATCAAAATATGTAACGTCAACTTTGATATTATTTTTTTATTAATAAAATTGAATGCAGTTTGTCACCAAAATATGTTATAGTAACGTTGATATCATCTCTTTAATGATAAAATTAAATTTTATTAAAATTTGTTATGTCATCAAAATATGTCATGTTAATGTTAGTATATTTTTTTAATAGTAAAATTAAATATTGTTAGAGAAATGATTAAATTAGAGTAATTATTATAATTAAAAACTTAAATTCCTTAGATTTTAAGTAAAAAGATTTAATTGGACAACATGCATAGATACATGGGCTGATCGGGTATTTTGACTATTTATTTACTCCCAATTCGAAATTTTAAGTGAGTCAATGTGTACAGCCTTAATGAACTGGGTGGGAAGAGATTGTATAAACAAGTGAAAAGAATCTAATCATGTGGAAACGAAGAAGGCCAAGTTGCGGCATTGTTTTAGCGACGTGAAATGACAAAAATGCAATGAATGTCTCAATTTACGCTTTTGGGCTTCCACAGCCCGTGACAATACCTCACGACATTGCAAGCGACAAGCCAGAAGATTGGCTCCCCTCCGGCCCAGCCTCCCGCTATAAATTCCTAGTCTCCTCTACATTTTCCCATTGATTCCTTTAGAGAATCCCCTGCACAATTCCTTCGTTTGACGAACGAAAGGTGACCCAATTTTGGACAAGTTATCAGAAAAAAAAGAAAAAGATGCCTTTTAATATTACCTCCATTAAAACCTCTTCAAATGGAGCTTGGCAAGGCGATAATCCTCTCGATTTTGCCTTCCCACTGCTAATAGTTCAAGCCACTTTAATCCTTGCCCTTAGCCGCTTCCTTGCTTTCCTTCTTAAACCCCTTCGCCAACCCAAAGTCATTGCTGAAATAGTTGTATGAATCTCTCTTCATCTCTGATAATCTTGCAAGTATACACGCGTGTGGGTGTATATTTTTTTTTATCGAATGTTAATGATGATGCTGATGATTAATTCTATGATCTCAGGGCGGAATTCTTCTTGGACCGTCAGCTTTTGGTCGAAACGAAGACTACCTACATCGGATATTTCCATCATGGAGTATGCCCGTGCTCGAAACGGTGGCAAGCATTGGTCTTATCTTCTTCCTTTTCCTTGTAGGTCTCGAACTCGATTTAAGCTCAATTCGTAGAAGTGGAAGGAGAGCCTTTGGCATAGCTTCCGCCGGGATATCCCTCCCATTCGTTTGTGGCATAGGCGTTGCCTTTGTCCTTAGAAAAACCGTTGATGGAGCAGACAAAGTCGAGTACGGCCAGTTCCTAGTCTTCATGGGAGTCGCACTTTCCATCACTGCTTTCCCTGTTCTCGCCCGTATATTAGCGGAGCTCAAATTGTTAACAACTCAAGTGGGAGAAACCGCCATGGCTGCAGCTGCATTCAACGACGTCGCTGCATGGATTTTGTTAGCACTAGCCGTTGCTCTTGCTGGCAATGGCTCTGGTCAACACAAAAGCCCCTTAATATCAGTCTGGGTCCTTCTATCAGGTGTTGCCTTTGTTGTTTTCATGTTTTTAGTCATTCGACCCGCCATGAAATGGGTCGCTCGCCGGTGCTCCCCGGAGCGAGACGTGGTTGACGAGGCCTATATTTGTTTAACCTTAGCCGGTGCAATGGTATCCGGGTTCATAACTGACCTGATTGGAGTCCACGCAATCTTTGGTGCCTTTATTTTTGGACTAACAATTCCTAAAGAAGGAGAATTTGCAGAGATGTTGATAGAGAGGATTGAAGATTTCGTCTCGGGTTTGCTTCTTCCGCTTTACTTCGCTTCCAGCGGCTTGAAAACTAATGTGGCTAAAATTAGCGGTGGGGAGGCTTGGGGCCTCTTGGTGCTGGTCATATCGACGGCCTGCGCCGGGAAGATCATAGGGACTTTCGCAGTGGCTATGATGTATAGCATGCCGGTGAGAGAATCGTTGGCTCTTGGGGTTCTGATGAATACTAAAGGATTGGTTGAGCTCATTGTTCTCAACATTGGCAAGGAGAAGAAGGTGAGTTTCGTTGACCTTTAATTTTTTAGTCCTAATAATTATTTCTGTATTCATTGGTTGCACTGCTAGATGGTATTAGAGGGACTAGTTTTAGGTTAAAGGATTATTATTTCTTTTACCCAACTTCATTTTTCCTATCTTAGGTCAAAACTTGAATCTAAAACTAATTCCAACCTTTTTTTCTTGACAATTAAGCTTGATAATTGATACTTGGAGGTTATTAAAATTCAAAAAACGTTGGTAAGGGGGAAGAAAATTTTGTTGGTTTTCTTGTCGGCATGTCTTTCTTTTTCCAATATTTGCCCCAAATTCCTGTAATTTTTCGCTGGAAGTGAGAACCCACCTAGCCGGGAGTCCCGATGATAAGATAAGAAAGAGAAGCGTACGTCATTTGCTTTGCCAACAGAATCCACCCTTCTCGACAACCGTAGTTGCCATCCATTGCTTTGTTTTGTTGGTCAACAAAGCTGAAATTTCAACTTTGGATGGTTAAGTTTCTTCACACGTGAAAGACTATTTGGTGAGCTTATTGGTTTTATCAATAGCAACTTAATCTTTCATACTTCAGCTATATTCTATCACTTCTATGGTGTGTATGCTTTAGTGAGAAAGCTGGAAATATATTAAAGAAAGGAAAAAAGATTCAAGTAATGATTATACAAGAAGCCTCAAATTTTCCAAGAGATAATGCCATTCCAAATTGCTGGCTACCGTTCCCTTCTATTTGTTTTTTGTTTTAACTTCACATATTCATGTTGACATGACCACCAAACATAAAATCAAAGTAACTGGTTATCATTAGCAAACAACAAAGACATTGTACGAGTTATTTTTTATATATATTTTTGGGATAATTGTACTACATCTATGATTGGACGGTATTAAGCAATTACTAATGATGTTGGAATTGTCCCACAGGTGCTTAATGATGAGACCTTCGCTATATTAGTGCTCATGGCACTCTTTACCACCTTTGTGACAACCCCAATGGTCATGGCCATCTACAAGCCGGCCCGCGGTTCCTCCGCCCTCGCTTGCAGGAAATTACGTGACTTGGCCAACACCGATGAGTCGAAAGATGAGCTTAGGGTCTTGGCTTGCCTGCACGGCCTTAGCAACGTACCCTCAATCATCAGCCTTATCGAGTCAACCCGAAGCACCAAAAAATCCCAACTCAAGCTTTTCGTTATGCACCTTGTTGAACTTACTGAACGCTCTTCTTCGATCATCATGGTCCAACGGGCCCGAAGAAATGGGCTTCCTTTCATTAAGAGGCTTCGCAGGGGAGAATGGCAGGACCGAGTTGCTGGGGCTTTCCAGGCTTACAGTCAATTGGGTCGAGTCAAGGTTAGGCCCACGACAGCCATTTCTGCGTTGTCCTCCATGCACGAGGATATTTGTCACGTGGCAGAGACCAAGAGGGTGACCATGATCGTCTTGCCGTTCCACAAACAATGGACGCTGGATGGTGAGCAGCGGACGGTGGAAAACGTTGGCCACGGATGGAGACTGGTGAACCAGAGGGTACTAAAGAACGCACCATGTTCGGTGGCAGTGCTAGTGGACCGTGGATTCAGCAATGGTGGCCAGACTCCGGGGCCCACTACCACTGAGTCCCAAAGGGTTTGCATACTGTTCTTTGGAGGGCCCGATGATCGCGAGGCGTTGGAGTTAGGTGGTAGAATGGCCGAGCATCCAGCCGTGAAAGTGGTC